TCAATGGCAAAGTTATCTGTATAGTAGACATGTTATAAGGTTTATTTTTCTGTTTTAATATGCATAAGTAAACCCTGTTCATCAATGGATGTAAGTGTTATAAAATGAACCCGTATATACAAGTGAAGTCTTATGTAGTGAGGTCAATTTATATCAAAGTATAATGTAGTACTGCTTACAGTGAAATAGTGTCATTGTTCAGGTTTTCTCTGCTTTTGTAACTTTAGAGTTTGTGCAACAGAAGGGATAATCAAGCTAACTTGTTCGATGGAATCTTTCGTTAATATGTAGGCTGGGTGAGCTGTCGCTCTGCCCTTGCCTAGGCTTTGCAATGGACTGTGTTACATAAAGTGCTGCAACATCTATGTGCAGTGCAGCCAAATGACACTGGACCTCCTGTTTGTGACAAGTGTTAAGTTCAACCATTCAACTTGTTATGACGTAGTGACTCTTTTTCAATTTCTGTCTGCCCTTATGACTGAGGCAAGGATTTCTTGGGGTGATATTTTTTATTGGACCAACTGCAGGGTCCAGTAAAAAACCCCAACTTTTGTTGGACCAATTGCAGAGTCAGGATAGAGTTAGACAAGCTTTTGAATGCAAGACATTCTTCATTAGGTCAGACATCACTCTAACAGTACTTATTATCATTGACGCGTCGGGCCTGTTGCCACCTATGGGCAGTACAAAGTGAAGAGTACTGTGCAGTCTGGATAGGAGTCTCTATGGTGTTTGAGAATGCAGTAGCTGTACATGTAACTCAAAACACAAACAGGCTAGTGATGGCAAATCCCAGCTTAAAGTTCAGCTGTTTAATGCATGTCATAACTACCTCCAGAGGAATAATCCAAGAGCTGCCTTGCTCTGTGCCCTGAGGGCAAGGGGAAGATCATAGGAGTAATGCCTCTGTGGAAATTTCCAGCTGTTCAGTCCCCTTGTGGAATACCAGCATTCAGTTGAAAAGAGCCACTCTGCTTGGTTGGGTATGGATAGAAGTAAGATAATGTTCTAGTATTGCTGCCCTCCTAATTTATTTTTAGTTCCTCTTATTCCCATTTTACTGAGAAGAACAGCTGGGAATCTCTGCCCTATGGCAGGGAGTGTGATATGAGAGAGAAAGAGAAGGGGGTTGACTCCCACAACTCACACAAGTAACAGAGTGGCTCTGGTAGAGAGATCTAACTGAAATGGTTGTCTTATTCTCAAAGGCAGCCTTTCAGAATTTGGTATCCCCCCTTGCATCCAGGACAAGTACTTCTTGAAGATGAATAACATGTTCATCCTTATTGCCATCTCAGCTGTTATAGGGCAAGATCTTGTACACAAGGCAGTGAATTTTATACTATTGTAAGGCTGTTCTAAGAGCCTGTGAGAGAAGGCATAAAGGCTGTTGTTTTAAGTTTCCCAGAACACAGGACAAGTAATAACACTGTCTCCTTACTGTTTTACTTGCTCAGTCCCAGTTTTGGGTAATGGAGCTCTTCATTTTCCAAGCGTGTCAGGATTACAAGCCTCTCCCAGCTGTCTAGGTTCACATATTGTGCATGTCACCATAGTAGGTCAGTGTGTCACAAGCATTTAAAAACTAGAATAAGTTGTCCTACCGCCTGGTCAGAAGTAATTTTCTTGCATCAAGCATAGATTCTTTCATTTGTCATTATCTGTGAAAACAATATTGTGGAATGAGAAACAAACATTTTTTTTTCTTTTGGCTCTGGGAGTTGGGGTGGTCTGTGGCCACCCTTTTATTCCTTTGCATCAGTGAGTCCCACAGTCTTGTTCAGCTCCTGAGAAAATTCTAACTCCTGTTACTGAGGAGTCTTCTGTGCTTAGCAGTTCTAGGAAAATGTAGCTATATTGGGAGCTCTTGATCATGGAAAGAAGGGGGAACCTCTCAGGTAGGTAGGGTCAAAGCCCATGGAGAGACAAAGACTTTGAGGTAGACTTTGTATTCAGTGGAAGTCAGTACAGAGACATGTCTGGGGTGACATGTATTGCTGCTGCATTCTTTATTACCTGGCACACTGTCAGTTTGGGGAGCTTTATCTCTAAGTAGAATGTGATTCAGTAATAGAAGTTAAGAGTCTGTGACTGTGGGGCTCAGCATAGTGAGTTCTGACTTGCAAGAACTTTCTGGACAGGTGCAATTAGAGCAAGGGTGGGCAATTATTTTGGGCGGAGGGCCGCTTACTGAGTTTTGGCAAACCATCGAGGGCTGGATGACATGCATCCAGGGGCAGATAAATATTTTCTAAATTTTTTAGGGGCCCCGTGGGCTGGATAGAATGGCCTGGTGGGCCACATCCAGCCTGCAAGCCGCATTTTGCCCACCCCTGAATTAGAGGCAGGTGTTTTCACTATCGTGCCTACTTTGGCCTAGATATAGCTATAAGGTGTTCCAAAGGGCTCTAAAGCTGGTAACTGATTTAGCAAACAGAGGGGTCTGTTATGGCAGAATCAAGGTCTTGGAAAAGCTTTTTCCCTCTCTCCCTACCTGCATTGCCTCCTTGTAGCATGGGTTCAACTTTAGCCAGAAGTTCTTCAGCTAGATGTTGATCTCAGCTAGGCCTTCATCTGTCATTCACAAAGCTAGCTAGTTGGAAGGCTGTTGGCTGTACATACTTGTGTCTTTGCAGGAGTGCATCTTCTTTTGTGTTCGTGAGGAGCCTGTGGTATTTCTACGCATGGAAAATGATTTTGTACCCTACACACCCAGAGGAAAGGAGAACTTGCATGAAAATCTGCACAGTCTGCAGAGAGGGGTCAAAGTGGAAAACTTGGAGCTTGCAATCCGGAAAGAGGTGATTGAACATCTAAGCTGGCCATTTCTTTGAATGGGATGCTGGGAACTAGTTGTCCTCTAGTTATTTTGAGGGGTTTGGTGAACAGAGGTGATGGGAGTTGTGTTTGGCAAGAGAGAAGGGCAGTTGGGAACTCATTGTGGCTGTGTGATAATTTTGATACTATGCCGTGGGATGGCTTTTCTGAAGACTTTACTGTCTTGGGAAGGGTCCACTGTGAGGTGTCGTGTGTGTAAATGTGCTTGCACAATATATATGTAGCTCTATTTGCTTGTGTGCTTAAGAAACTGGTACACTGAAATGGCATGGGGTCTTGTACTGACCTTTTTTTCCTTGCATGAAGAGTTCCTGTGGTTCCCATTCTGGGCCTTTGCAGTTAACTGAATTCAAACAGCTGTGCGGTTCCACTCAGGATCATCTGTATGACTCTGTCCCTGTCTTTCTATCTGCCCCTTCTGCTCTAGTGCTGAGTCTGTATGCTTTGCAGTTCACCTTAGTCTCAATTTACAATACTTTCCTTCCTGTTCCAGTCTTTGGCCTCTTGTGATTTTTGCACAGTGAGCAGTACCTAATGAATAAACTGCTCATGAGCTCAGTAGAGTAGCAGGTTATTTTGCAAAATGGACCATATGCTACTTATAAGAATTGCACCATTTCTCTAGCATCCCCACATGCTGTTTTGGTAATATAGTTGGAAATGGAAGTTAAACAGTAAGAATGGCTTTTAAATTGATTTTGTTCGGTTTGTCTACTGAAGATACATGACTTTGCCCAGCTGAGTGAGAACACGTACTATGTCTATAATGATATTGAACATTTCAAAGATGAGCCGCATTCTGTGAGCATCCATTGTGAAGAGGACATCCATGTGACAGAAGAAGTATACAAGAGGCCTGTTTTTCTGCTGCCATCTTACAGGTAATGCTTAGACATAAATGATATTCCCATATTGCTTGGGTTCCTTTCCTCTTTCTTCTCCTCTTCTGCATGTTTATTCCATAATAATTTGGCAGGTCTGTGCCTAGGAAGTCCATCACATGCTCAGCTTGGGGTTTTGTTTTGTTTTATTTTTAAATCCAAGGTGCCAGACCTGAAACAGTGTGTTCATAATTACAGCTCTGGGTTGTACTCATCATCTTCCAGTGCACATGGGCTTTATGGTTTCAACATGTGTATTCAAACTGGTGAAAGAAAGGGAAAAAGCCTTTTTGTCTTGCTGGAGAGCAGCATTAGCTGTAGGGGGAGCTAGACAACTCTCTCCTCCCAGAACAACAGGTGAAGGGGTTGAAGAAACATTTACAGAACACCTAATATTAGACATGGATTTCTCCTACGCCCATAAAACCTTTCGGCGCTCAAGCTTGAATGGCAGAACGACTGCCCTTTATAACCATAATAGGAGTCTCTAGATCAGAGCTTTCCAAACTGTGTGCCGCGACACATTAGTGTGTCGGCGGCAGTGTGTAGGTGTGTCGCGCGAAATGCAGAAAATTTTGCGGAAGGGCACCGCGGAGCTCCCTTACTCGCGTCTGCTTCCCTTGGCCCCTCCCCCGGAACTGAATTACTGTGTCGCGAAATGATGCATGTCTAAAAAGTGTGTCACCAACATGAAAAGTTTGGAAAGCTCTCCTCTAGATGTACTGGTAAACCAAGTGAATGTTACTAAATGTGTAACAATGTTTCTTGTTTATGCCTTTTTGTGGGACTTTCCCAGCCGTCCCCTCTTATTTTAAGTCTTTATTCGCCCAGTGAATGGCTTTTTACTGTATTTGGCAGGTACTGTCGTCTGCCTTTGCCTGTGGATGGGGCGCCTCTTGAAGCACAGTTTGATGTTTTCATCAATTTCCTCAGGGTAAGAATGGCTGAATGCAGAAGTCTCATATTAACAATGTGGAGAGAGAGAGAGAGAGAGAGAGAGAAAACATCAGACGGCTGTTGGTTTTTCTGCTCAGAGCAGCATAAATTGGGTCAGTGAATTCTGCCCATGGTCGCTGCATATGTTGTAGCTTCTCCTGGGGGAAACAAGGTGAGGTCAAGTGCAGCACCTGATTTCCAGGAAGGGTTCTGTCTTTCTTACCTAGCTTCCCTGCTAACTAAGGCTTGGGCAAGGGAGGGAAGAAAGGTGATGTACATGAGTTGGTCATATGATGAGTCTGACTGAGCCTAAGTTAGAACCAAGGCTTGCGCTGGGGTTCCTAGTCAGTGGAATAAGCAGACTAATGACCTTCTTACAGTACACTTACCGGATGAGTTTGATTTGGGATTTGGAGCTGGGCAGCCACTGCCTGCCTCTGTTTAAATTTGTGGTTCTGCTTTTAAACTTAAATAGACAATCATAGTTTTGTGGTAGCTGACCAGAAATGCAGTGCTGAACCCTTCTGCTGCAGGAGGTAAGGCCTGTCATCATAAAGGACACTGTTACATAGTTGCTACAAACCTGTACCACATGCGATGCTGAGAGCACAGACCAGAGGCCCTTCAAATATTCTGGGGGCCGGAATGACTCGGGCATCACTGGTGGCGCACACACGTACCTCTTGCTTCTAGTTACTGATTCAAATCGGCTTGGATTCCGTCATCAATAGTCTGTTGCCATCACAGGGCTGTGCTCTGTGGCTTCTGTCATGAGAGCTGATGGTCTTGGTCCAGTTCCGGATTAATGAGGACCATCACTATAGTTGACACCGTGGTGAAGAGCACATTCCCTAGAGAGGCTGTGTCTAGATTGGTGGTTCTCAACCTCTTTAGACACAAGGCACTCTCAGACAATGCTAGCTCTGCGCATTCATTCAGTTTTTGACTACAGAAAAATAGAGCAATTCTTGTGTTGCAAAGAACTCAAAACGACCACAACAGGTCAGAATGTTTTTAAAACTGTGCATTTCCTATTTGAAACCTCTGGGTTTGTGAATCATGTTTGCATGTCTAATAGTGCTAACATTATATGGCACTCTGTGGCACCCTTGAAAGGATCTCCAGGCACACCAGGGAGCTGTGGCACCTAGGTTGAGAATCACTGGTCTGAGTTAGAGTGAACTGTATTGAGGGGAATTGTGAATGAGGCTAACAGGCTGCTGACTGTGCTGTACCCATTCATGCATAAACTGAGGGTTTGAGTCTCCTGGGTTATCACTCTTGCTCTTTTTATCAGATAACTCACAAAGCAATAAGCTTTCTTTTCTTGTGTGTGGTTCATATTGTGTGGCTCTATAGAGCAGTAGCATGTGCTTTAAATTAACAGTCTGTGTTAATTTAAAGTAAGACTTTCTTTTTCAGTTCTTTCAGAGAGACTTGTGTGGAACAGACCTTTCTCCTAGGGAACATTTAAAAACTGCTACTGCTTTCTTGGCATTCAAATTCTCCATTGAATGAGTTGTTTGAGACTCAAGCACAAATGACAAACAGCTGCCTTGAGTTCAGACCATTTCAGATGTGGTTGTGTGTTACTCTGAGGCAGTGCAATAGGAAAAAATCAGCGACTTCTGTTTATTTTAGCTCCTTCCTATTTGAGTTGCATGCATCTGCTCTTCTAAACCTTTTTCCCTCGTGCCTTTATGCTCTTTCACACATTCTCCTCCTTGCCCTGCCTTTTTGGAGCTTTTTGTTGGACATAGCAGGATGCCTGTTCGCCTGCATAGAAGCTTCATCAGTTTGTACTCTTGAGAGCTGTGTGCACCTCTCATGCCCCTTAAGGATGAATGAAATGCAATATTTAGTCTTTGTTTGCCTCCACCATCTTCCTTTGTCCCCTTTATTTTTCTAGGTCATTTTGCTTTAGCCATTAATTTTTCTAGGGAGCCTGCTATGTGTAATTTGGAGTGAGTGTCTCTGGTAGCCTTGACTCAGGTGTTATGATTTGTTCTGGTATAGGGTTTGCTTAAGGACTAGCTGCAGCTGAGTACTTGTCAGCCTAAAAAACTCTGTGGTAATGAGCAGGTTGAGAGAGGAGGACTTCTGTGTGCTCATTTTCCTTAGTTACCCCATGGAGTGACTGGAGTGTGTGGAGGTCACAAGATGGGAATGGGACATATAGATTTGAATACTGTTTGAGGAACTTGTGCTGTTTTTCTTTAGGTTTTTTTTTTGTCTTAGTCAATAGATTTCCTGCTTCAGAATAGGCAGATTTTGTCCAAGACCTTAAGTGGAGTACCCAAGATGACTACTTTATATGCTGGAAATGCTGTCTATAGTTCTCACTCCAACTATTTTACTTAATATGGATTTCTTTTTTGTTATTGTTGTGCGGGCCGGGCCCTTTTTTGTGCTCTGAGCAGGCTGTGGCCAGCAGCCCGGGCACGCGGGGTCGGAGAGAGAGCGCGTGTCAAGCTAGAATTAGGCACAGACTCGTAGCGGTAGATTTAAAGATTGTTTACTTACACCGGAGATGGTTGCGGTGCAGGCTGGAAAACTTGCTTGAGTTGTGGTTACAGACAAAAACAACACGAACGGTCACGTGGAGTTTGCTAGGCTCCACGGAAACAGAGCTCCGGATGCTCTGGACAAGCACGCCACCAAAATAGGAACTTTGTAGATACGTCTTATAAAATTATCGCTCGAAGACAGAAAGAGGTGGGCGATAGATCAGGTCGCCAAACTCCTCTGAATCTCACACAGGGTTTCTATTACCCTGCCGTGTACCCAGAGTCCCCACAAGATGGATGCGGAATCCTCTTCGGCTTGGGCGGAAACCGCTCAAGCCTCTTATACGGCTAACAGGCCAATCGTTAGTCGCCACGTGGGAATAATTTAGAACTAGCCAATAGCGGGGAACAAATTTGCATGCGGGTGGCGGGAACTCCTTTGCACCGTGCATTTCTCTTGCAACTTGAGCAATGCACTCTGCAAAGGAAGCTGCAAATAGGCGGGAAACTCTTCCTTGCACCGGGGTTCTCCTCTGCAGCAGAAAACTCCACCGTGCAACGAAGCTGCAATTTGGCGGGGATAATTCTAGTGCTGAAGCACACACAAAATCATACCTTTGGGTTATGACAATTGTAACTTAATAAAATGTATCTAAGGCCCCTGCCATATGTTATGCTTAAAATGTGATTAATCAATTAATCGCGTCTTAAATTGTAACCCAGCCACATCGTAAATCCAGGAATAAGCTACAAAGTTATCCCACAGAAAATGTGTAATATTCCCTACCATCTGATGAGTGTTTCAGCTGTGGGAGCTTGCAACTTGCCACTGGCAATAATGCAATAATGCATGATGGGATCTAATGCTCGAGACCATAATCACGCCTCTTATCATGCATGTGTAACACAGGAGGAAGCACAATTGTGTGATGGTGGGTTCTTCACTATCACTTTAGCTGTTCACGGGAAAGGCATAAGTGTTTTCAGGTGAAAAATAAGTAACAGTGGTGGTAAAATGCCTTTTGTGGCTAACTTTCATAGATTTCATAGAGATTAAAACTGGAACTGACCTTGTGAGATCATTGGGTCCAGTCCCCTGCCCAAGAGGCAGGAAGTCATCTGGGGTCAGATCACCCCAGGAAGATAAGCATCCAAGCGTTTCTTAAAGGTATCCAGAGTAGGTGCTTGCACCACTTCTGGAGGGAGTCTATTCCAGACTCTGGAGACTCGGGTGGTAAAGAAGTTTTCCTTATGTCCAGTCTAAAATGGTCCTCTAGCAGTTTGTGATAGTTAGACCTAGTCTTCCCTTGGGGTGCCCTGGTGAACAGATGTTCTCCCAGGTCCTGATGCACGCCCCTTATATACCTATAGGCTGCCACCAAGTCACCCCTGAGCCTTTGCTTCTCCAAGCTGAAGAGTTCCATGCCTCTCAGCCTCTCCTCATAAGGCCTGTTCTCTTGACCTCTAATCATGTGTGTGGTTCTCCTCTGGACTCTCTCAAGCTTCTCCACATCCTTTCTAAAGTACGGAGCCCAGAACTGGATGCAGTACTCCAGCTGCAGTCTCACCAAGGCTGAGTAAAGCAGGAGAATGACTTCTTGGGTCTTGCTTAAGATTCATCAGTAGATGCAAGTCAGAGTTTTAGTTACTTTGCTGGCTGTGGCATTGCATTGGTGGCTCATGTTTACCTTGTGGTGGTGGCTAAGTCTCTTTTGGTCATAGTGCTAGTGAGTGTAGCACTGCTGAGCCTCTAAGTATGATGTGAGTTTTTTCTCCCATGGTGGAGCACCTTGGATTTCTCTGTTGAATGTCATCGGGTTTTGATCTGCCCACCTAGTGAGCCTGTCCAGGTTGGCCTAAATTGCCAGCCTATCCTCTAGTGACTGCACTTCCGCATAATTTGGTGTTGACTGAACTTATCCAGTCCACTTCTGACACCTAAATCCAGATCATTTATGAATATATTAAAGAGTACTGGTCTGAGTACTGAGCCCTGGGGAATGCCACTGGTCACCGTATGCCATGCTGACTCAGTTTCATTGAACACCAGGCAGGGAATCAAGTCTTAGCTCTGACACTGACTCAGAGTATGACCTTGAACCAAGTCATTTAATCTCCCTAGCTCAGTTTCCATTTGTGAAAACAGCAAGACTTTTCTCCCTTTGTGATGTACTTTGAGACTTCCACATGGAAGATGGGATTATGTAGGCACCAAGTACTAGTATGTTAACATTTTTCTTCTGTCTTGTATATTGTAGTGTCTGCTGTTTGCCTGTATTCTCTGTGAAGTGTGTTGTGTTGCGCCTGTGCGTGAAAGAGGTTATAATGCAATCCATGTATATCTCATTCATAGGAGAGTCCAAACCTGCTCCTGCTTCGGGACCCTGGCAAACCACCTCCTGCTTTACTTTTCAGCTGCCAAACTGGAGTGGGCAGGACCAACTTAGCCATGGTCTTAGGCACTCTTGTGCTCTATCACCTCAAGGTACCGCAAAAGCCAGAGTAAGTATGTCTTCTATCCCCTGCTTTGGGAGCTCATTGAATGAAGTGAGGGGAAGGGAGAAGTGATGACAGGCCCTGTTTGTACCACAGCATCTTAAAAAACTGATTTTTATTTAAAACCTGCCCCTGAAATTCTGTTGTGCATTCATGCTATACATAGGTGTGCAAGGAGGGCAGCTCCAGTCTCTCTACTGGGGACCCAAATGTGAGTTAAAGGTATTGACGGTTTTGTCCCATTAAATAGTAGTTGGGCTGTGTAGGTCTTTACAATAGCATATTTGGGAGGGTGAGGAGGCCACCTACCAGCAGAACTTAAAAAGCCCAAAACAACTCCTCCCCCACCCCGGAAAACCCCCCCACAAACCAAACAACCCCCACTCTCCTTCAAAACCATATGAAGCACCAATAGCACCTTCCCATCATATGATGAGATCATATTGTGGATTATTAAAAGCTTTTTAGTTCTAAAACCATTTATGCAATGCATTCCCTCCCTGCACCATTGTAGGAGGGGCTGAATTTCTCTACCCCTTCGTCCATGGCTTTCCCAAGGGGTAGCTCCTTTTGTTTTTTCTGAGAAAGGTCTGTAGGGTGGCAGGAGCCTGGGCTCTGGTGATGCAAATAGACTCTGACAGCTGCTTAGAGAATGGGATGTTTACCTGCCAGGGACATATATCTGGGAGAGAAATGAAAATTGAAGCCAGGGGGTGTTCATAGGAGAAGGGTAAAATTAATGCAGTTAAATAGAGGATGGACCTTGAATGCAAAGTTGATTTAATATAACATGCAGCATACTGCATGCATCTGTTTAAGTCTGATTTGTTCAGATGTGTTGAGTACCCAGTAACATAAACACACTAAGTAGAATCACTTACTCATACTTGTAGCCCTTACCGCTCTGGATTAAGATTATGACTGTGATCTCCTGCTTCAAGACTTCACTAGGTTGCTTGCAAGGGGCAGAAGGGTTATTTTTCCCTGATATAGCTGGCCAATTGTGCATCTTTTTTCCTTCACCTTCTGAAGGAAGGTGATTACAACTGGAAAAGGAACAGTGGACAGGAGGGGCTTGATGTTTTGAGCTGGTATAGACACTTATCTTTCTCTAAATGCCTGGTTGGTGTGTTGCTTAGATGTATGGGATGTACTGATCACCAGATTTAGGATAGGACAGCAATTTTCAGCAGCTTAAATGGTCAGTCACTAGCATGTTTTCGCTTCCTCTGTGACTTGGGGTATATTTTGCCTGCCAGAGTCATTTGGGCATGACTTTGCAGAGGCCTCAGGCACTAGTGACATTTTTTTCTGCCCACAGCTCAAAAAGTTTGTGTCTAACTGAATGCTTATTTTACCTATAGTCAAATTTAAGGGCCTGTGATATACAGGAGGTCAGACCTGATTTTTTTTTTTTTTTTTTGGTTCCATATGACCCAAAACTCTATGAAAATGTGCATTACATATGAAAATGTAGTTCACTGGAATTGTTAATATCTCCTTAGTATATTCTGAATTTTAAATGTAGAAATAGCTCTAAAATGAGAATCTTTCAAAATGAAAGCAACTTTGTAAGTATCACTATTATATGCACAATAGAATATATCTTGCCTACTGAATACTCGGTTGACTGGACGAATTATGCAAAGTGAGACAGTTTCCTTTCCAGTTTTGTGCTAGCACAAGTATAAAAAATACAAATGGGAGGGAAGTAAAACAATGAACCAAAATAACAGAACATTTTAATCTGCTCATTTTCTTTTTTTAATCACAGCCTTCCTCATCCTGCTAGAACTTCACCAAGGGATCGATTTCAGGTTATTCAAAACTTTATTGACATGGTACCAAAAGGCCAACAAATAGTAGAGGAGGTAAGTGTCTGTGAGCAGGCTTAAATTTGTAGTTACAGATCACATGGGTGAACTTGTGCTCTTGGGGTAACCTACCTTTGTGCGGAAAGGATACCTCCTGCAGCACAAAATGTTGGATTCTCCCCAGTTGCCATCCTGTAGTTAAGCTCCATAATATGGCAGTGTCAACAACATTTGGGATTTGAGATGACCCTTTTGACTTGGCAAGGAGGTTTGGGGCTGCAAAACATTTTTTCTGAGGAGCAAGTATTGCGAAGATGGCCCTACCTGCCAATCCCAGCACAATGTAGTACTCCTGAAATTTGACTAGAAAGGTGATTACCCTGAAGTCAGTCTGAAGTTAAAGTTCACACATCTCTAAACCAGTTAGTCCCTGACCAACCTGCTTTACCTTTTTCCTGGAATTTGAGAAGTTCATGCCACTAATACACCCCATTTTTTCTCTAGTTACATGTTAGCCACTTGTGTCATGTATTCCGATGCTACTTCCTCATTGCCCTTGTAGGCATTATGTAAATGCATTGGTTCCTCTATGTGACGAGGTCTGGACACAATTATCTTTTAAAGCCTATAAGTGCTGCTTCTTCGGGGAGGCAGCTAATATTTCAGTGAACATATATATCATGTTTGGTTGGCTGTGGACCCAGAGGTGAGAGTTGCTTATACATTTTGCCACTTTAATCATGCTAGTATGCTTACAGAGATGCATCCCTCAGCATGGGTATAGTTATATCCATATATATTATAAACATGCTTATAGTGTTGTTACAGCTTGTTTTTGCTCAGGGAGCTAAATAAACTGTGGTGGTATAAGGCACTTTTATATCAGCTTATCTTTGTTTCCCCAAGGGCTCTTATGAGCAAAACTATGCTGGCAAAAAAAAAGACACCCCTAGCCAACACAGTGACTCAGTAAACTTTAAGGTTGGACAAGGTTGTAGTCTCTCTCTCTCTCTTTTGTTTTTTCTTTTTTTTTTTCTCTTATGAGGTCAGAAGTTGTGATCACAGTAAAGCAAGAAAATTTTGTCCTTCAGTATGATCTGTTTCCTATTATAGCTGGTCAAAAGATTTCTCTTAATCTCAGTAAGAGCAGAATGGAGTCCTTGCTATTTCAGACACAGACATGTCACTTACACAGCTCCCCTTGTCATTGTGCTCCTCTCTATGCACAGTTGTTGCTTGGAAATGAGATTTTGTTTTCTCTCCTTATTTATCCTTTTAGTGTATGCCAGGTTACTGAAGAAGGTATTTAGCTGTGTTAGTCTAAAGTTGGGCAGAAGAAAGGGCAAAGTTGCACCTTATAGACTTTGAAATTCAGAGAAAAGTAAGTTTTGTAAGTTGTGAAAGCTTATGCATATCTGAATTGGTTAGCCTGTGAGGTGCAACTCTGCCTTGCCTTCTGCTTGAACCAAATGGTAACCTTGTGATAGATACCACACAACGCACAGCATAAAAATCTCTCAAATGCAGACGGAATAGCACCGTGGAATGGTTGATCAGAAAGCTTAGCAAGTTTTTTTTTTTTTTTTTTTTTTAAACGCCAGATTGCCATGTGGCCTTCAAGGTGTGAGACAAACGCAGCTTCATTTGTGGGATAACACTATGGTGTACATATGACATTTGTGACTTGTGTGCATAAAACCTGCAGCAAATTTCAAGTGCTCTTAAAATGCTTCCAGCTGCACTACTGAAGAGCAGCAGGGACTCTTGGGGTACAGGATGGTTTTCAACTGATAAAACACAGTTGGCTCTGCTAGTTGGGAGTAGTAATATAACTACAGGTGGGTGAGAGGGGCACCCACCCCAGGTGCCAATATAGGCCCTGGAGGCAGCAGCAGTGGTGGTGGGTGCTGCTGCTGCCTTAAGAGCAACAACTAGGGTAAGAGATAGCAGCAGCTCAGCTGGGGACTGACAGTCCCTGGCATGAGTAAGACTGCTTTGCCTACAGGGTTTGCCAAGGGCACCAACTCTACTTGTTAGGCCTCTGGTTGAGGGGGATGAAAGCGAGATGACAAGGGTTAAGGAAGGGAGAGAATAAACAGGACCAGCAGGAAAAGGATGCATTTTGATGCTTGAATAACTGAATTCCCTTTGATCCTTCCAAGGTGGACAGTGCCATCACCTTCTGCTCTGAAATGCATGACATGAGAGAAGCCATCTATGAATATAAGAAGAAATTGGAAGGGATTGGAGAAGATTACCAGATTCAGGTACCAGAGGAGAGGCAAGCTACCTCTTGAAGATAATAACTAGCTAACCACCGTTATAGAAGAAAATAGTACTCTGAGAATACACAATTCTTTGGCATGAATGCAAGCAATCTAAGGCAGGGGAATATGTTTGTCTTATTTGAAGTGAATTTTGTGTAGCTGAAAGTTGCTAGACTGGCAGATATGCTCCTGCTTCATTCAGAAACAAAAAGGTTCTGAATCTTCTGGTCTTTTGCTGAAGGCTGTGGGCACTTTCTTCAGATCAGATACCTCTCTAGGTGACACCTTTATTGCCCCTCTGTGGATGGTGACAAAAATGTGTCTATTAATAGAGTGAGTCAGTTTCCAAGCCCTTTTTGGTGAGCAATTTTTCTGTGAACAATGCCAGTAAGGATGCAAAAGACAGTGTTACTTGTGGTTTATGTTGATGTTTTTTATGAGGTATGGATCTGTCTATTAGGGACTGAATTGAGATAACTGAACATTACATTAAATGTTATGTCCATTTTTCTTGTGACTAATTATTGCATTGCTGGCTCCTTAGCTATGTTTTCTCCAGTGGAGAGACTGTTTGTGTTTAATGAGAAAAGAGAAGAGAGAATTTGTAAATTATGCCATTGGCAGATCTTAAAAACACTTTATGATTATAGAAAACTAATTCTAACTAAAGTACAGTGCATCTCTAAAACAGCCTGCAAACCTCGAAGGGACTGCTTGGAGGTACAAGATGCTAGCATTTACCAGTTACATGAATAGAGTGCCAAGTATATATAAGGCCACATGCAGTGGAATGTTATAAATTCAGTGTTATAAGTTCAGTGAGACTAGTTCAAAGTATGCTCAAGTATTTGACAATTGAAAGATCATTGTAATTGATGCCAAAAGTCATGTTTGTGATTAGGTAGGAACAGAATAATCAGAGGGATGAAGAGATGATTACTACAGCAGCTGGTTCAAGGTGAAGCTCCCTCACTGCCACTGGAAGGAAAGACAAGCTGATGTGAATTTCTACTTGGAAAAATACTTGCGTAAAATGGCATTTTTTTTACACAGTCCCTCTCCCCCCAGGGTGTATTCAGGCTCTATGCTGTGACCAAAATATAATTTTCCTTGTATTTTTGCTTCTTGTAGTTCTGTGTAGTCAACATGATGAGGTGATTTGGATTCTGTTCCTCCTTGTGCCTCATTGTATACTAATTTACAGTTGCAAGAGCAGTCAAGTGTCACAGAAGGCACAGTTCAGCTTGGAGGGCTTACATAGCAGGTGTCAGTGAATGGAAAGGAAAGAAATCCAGGTTAGGGGAGATGGGCTGCGTAAAATCAATGCTATTTTTCACAGTTTTTTTCCAAGTAGCAATTCACTTCAGCTTGTACTTCTTTACAGTGACACTGAGGGGAAATCCTGTTTTCAGGATTTTTGAAAGTTACTGATTTTAAATATGAATGCTTGTAATGTCTTTCTGACTAGGCCACTTTCAGAGGTGAGCCAGGCCTGCTACTGGAACTTGGAAGACCTAGGTTCAATTTCTGATTCTTCCACTGTTCTGCTGAGTGATCTTGGACAAGTTGCTTCCCGTCTTGTGCTTCAGTTTTCCCATCTATAAAATTGAAATGATGGTGCTAATTTATTTGCAAAGGGCTGTGTAATCTGCAAAGGCTAAATGCTATATGAGAGCCAGGTATTGTTAATCTAGTAATTCAAGCAGAACATTCATAGCACTATCAGGATAAAAGCTTTGTTCTTCAGTTTGGGGGTCACTGGGGCAATGGTTATCAATGATTAAAAAGCAGCTCTCGCGTTGGGATTTCTACGGTCTTTACTGTTAAGATCTTTACTATTTTTCTTTAAGATAGAATAGTATTAAATACATTTCTCTAGAAATATGGTGAATATAGATAATGTTTGTGCCAACTTTTCTCACATTTGATCTATGAGAGTTTGTAGATCATCCCTGTCTAGTACTGGACCTCTCTTGAGCAGAGGGTGGCACCTACACCCAATGACATGGAGGTCTTTGTGATAAGAACAGTTTCAACTACTGCACTTGTTTTTAGTTGTCTCCTCAGAGTCTTGAGCTTACACCCCCATGCCGTGAGCCTGTTAATTCCCTTGTAATAAATGACAGTGCAAATGAAGAATTGGAAGAGGAAGGATGGAAATGTTTTAATTTTCCTTTTGAAGTCCCCTCTACTGAAGGATATAAACAGGATAGACTGGATTTCTTTAGGTGTAAATGAGGGACTCTATAAACATGGGCATTCCGTGCTATTAGATTGTGTTAAAAGCCAGAAGGCCATCAATAGGACAAGTTTGAGCCAGGTGCTTGCTCTGAAAGCAGAAGGAATGTTGTTTTCTTCCAAGAGAGCACTTTGAGAAGAAAAATTCCCTTTCTTGCTTTTGATGTGTTGATACAGCTGTCTGAGAGAGGGTGCTTTGTTACATTGCACAGATGTGATCTTATCCCTGTCATAATGTGGGTAGGGTCTGAGGGAAGAGGCTTTTGGTTGCAATGCAGTGGCATACTTATGGCTTCATTTTCAGATAGCACTCCTGATCTTGCTTATGCTCTCAGGAAATAATTTATGATTTCCTTGCTGGCAGATTATTGTTGGCAGATGTGTGATTTCAGGAAGGCTCTTATGGGAGCATGTGCTTGAAAGTTGTAAGGAGTGTGTGGAGCTCCTTTTTTATTAGCTATTCCGAACAAAATGAATAAATAACATCCAGACTATTGAGCACCAAGGTGATGCTCTACCCTTCATACCAGCTGCTGCAACTGTATACCCCACAAGAGATTAGAGTTACCTTTTTCTTCTTTCCCCCTGATTCTTGAGTGATGTCAAAATGATAATAGTACTTCCTTAATTTATTGTACAATATTTTTGGATGATTTAAATGTTTTACAAGATCAGGCATAAACCATTCCTAACTTTCTATGGTAGCAAATATAAAGCAAGAACATGCTGCAACTGGATGGCATGAGCTTCTGGGGAAGGGGGTCTTTTGCTATAATAGACTGTGCATTTTCACCATCCCTACGATGGAGCATGTGCTAAGACCATGGGACAAGACCACTTCTTAAGTCGCCAAACCAAATGATCATTCAAATGGAATTCTATTTTATTCAGTTGTATTTGTGTTATAATTGCTCCTGCTCTCTTCCACTCATTTTACACTTGATTGAAAGGCCAACTAAACAGTTGGTGCTGTGTAGCAGGGATGTGGTCCTTGGGATTATTGTGATGCCTGGGTGAGAGCTGATTTTCTGCGATCTGTGTATCGGGTGTTTTAATTTTTGTTTTGTGATGCCTCACTATTTAATTGAGACAAAACAAGGCAATTTAGCTCCTTTGCATTGTCCACTTAAAGCAACATGTATTGGAAAAGGTCACGTATGGCCAAACAGTGCAACTGTCTAATGTATATAGGATCATTCTAGATCCTAACCTGTTGTAAATGGATATCAATCCATTGAAATCAAGGGAGCTGTGTTGGTTTACAACATACAAACATCTGTCTCATGATTTCCAACTTCTTTCACTGACCTTTCAAGCCACCCTGCTTCTGCTGGCTGAGGATTTGCACGTCCTAGATTCACTTGACTCTTTTTTAACTTTGATTATGGCTTTTTTCAAACCTTTTTTTCTATCCATTTTAAGTAATTAATGTGCAGTTAGAATGGAGTGGAAATGTCAGTGTAGTTCCTCCATGGGCAGTTTTAAAATGTGCGCTATCCAGCCAAAGAAAATGTATTTGCCATTTATCAAAGAGGAGAGCACCATTAAAATGATTAAACAGAAAAGAATGTGAGATGGCACTTGTCTAATTCTTCTCAGGAATTCATGCAGATCCAAGATGTTTTCCCCCCACATACACCTTTTTTTTTTTTTGGTGGCATTTGGAATATTCCTCTGTACACTGAGGTGTTCCATATACCTAAATTATGTTGAGCAGCACATGAGCAATACCTTGTACTAGTGGGCATGTTCTGGCTATGCATATCTTATGTTCTTGGCTCAGCAAGAGTAGTGTGTTACCAAAAGTGTAAGTGAAAGAGAAGCTAGAATAACTTTTCAGGTTTATACTCAAAGGCAGAGGGCTCAGATTCTTTCTCTGAGGGTTGCTTGCGTTTTCATGCATTTTATATATAATTTTGTATATCATTTTTACACGAAGGCCTTCACCCTTGTAGAAGTTATACTAGGGCTGACCAGAGAGCTCCTTTGAAGCCTATCAGTATTGCTTCTTTGTGACCTAGTGGAGTCAATGTCCTGTGAGAGTGTATCCCTGTAACATTACTCTCCACTCATATTGGCTGGGGACCAAAACATGGGCAATTGGAGTTAATGCCTCTGCTGAAGATTGATTTGCTCACCCATGGCACTCCCCAAGTAACTTTTTATACTAGAGAGATGTAGTTAGCCATCTTATTCTGAAGACAAGTAGAAGGTAGGTTAGATTTGTACCTCATAGACCAACCAAAGTAGAGATGTATGTAGATATTGATATACCTCTATTTTGGTTAGTCTGTAAGGTACAAAGCTACCCTGCATTCTTTGTATACTAGACAGGGCCTCCAATTAGGGTGAAGTATTCAGAAATTGGCATGTAAGCTGTTTTTGTGAAATGTAGTGCATGGGCTCCGCAAAGCTTGTCGCTGTGGGAATGGATATATTTAATGTATATAAATCACAGTTACAGGAACATGAATGTATGCATAAAAGCATAGCTGAGATGTCATTATGTGAATCTATCAGGTGCTTTCTTTTTTCTCCTCTTTTTAAAGAGAAAGTGTGTCCTGCTAACAGATATAAAACTGGAAAACTGAACCCTGGAATCTGATGTGGCGCCACTCCCTATTTCTGTGGCTGGTGTTAGCTGAAAGGGTCCTCTTCATCATTTTTTTTTTTTTTTTTTTATTTGAGCAAGAGGATGGGGTGTGTTGTCCGTCCCCCCCCCCGTGAAGGGGTGCAGTTTGTATTTTACTCAAGACTTATGCTGATTCTGTATTGCAGAGATTTGCTGTGATGGGAGATGGCTGGTGTATATCATTACTGGCACTGGAAAATAAACTTTTGGGGATTGCTGTAAATTAAACAAGAGAAGTGTTTATTTGAAGTTCAAGTAAAGCTATAGCAGTTTTAAACAATGGAAAGTTTCCAGGAAAATTTGCTTATTGGACATGAACTGCATATGGCGAGAAGGGGAAACCAAAAAAAAATGAGAAAGCAAGGATGGAATATGTTTGGTAGATTTAGGGCCAGATTTTTAGCTAGTGAAAAACAATGTAGCTGCATTGAAGTCAGGAGGCTTTTGCTATGTTCTTAAAGGCTTTACTGGATTGGGATCTCGCAGAGTGAATATTCCTAGACAGTCATTCTGCTGTTGCCTTTTTGAGGTATCAGGGAATTCTCTGCTCGCTGAAGTATGTGTTCCTTCACAAAACTGAGGCAGTAGAGCAGAGCCTGAAATCATCTACGTGTGGAAAATAAATGCAGCAGAAGCAGCAGCAGATCAAGGTTTCATACCTGACCCTGCCAAGATGTTTCCACACCTGTCCTAGAGCAATCGCCCTTTGGGCTGAGGGAAGGTAGCTGTTTGTCTCTGTTTGTTCACTCTGCACTTCTTCACAGGCTGTTAGCATAGGTGTCAGCTAGTGTTAAATGAAGAGGTGGCTCTTGTATTCTGGACACCTGTTACAAAAAGAATGAACTAAAAAGCCATAAAATGGTCACTGCTTTGTCTTCATGAGCCTTCTCTGGTTTAAACTTTCATTGACATGGGGAGAAGGACTCTCTCTGCTTTCTAACCAATATTATAAAAAATCCAGTTTCAGTCTCTTTAAATTAAGTCATCTTAGAACAGAGGTGGGTATTAAGCCTGACTTTTTTTTTTTTAAAGCCTCTTTTTAGGGCATGTTAGGGATTTGTCAGAGGTACAAATAAAGATAAAGAAAACTGGGAAAAATAAAACAAAATGCCTGGAACCTTCCTCCCCACCCCAACCCCTGATGGTGATATTAACATCAGTAGAAACCTGGAATATTTCCACAATTACAGACTTTGTTTTGAGTTTCCAGAGTAAGCATGTTTCTTAGTCTCTTGATAAATGATAGAGAGCCGGATTTGTCTTGCAGGTAACAAGTAAATATTCATGAGTCAATTACATAATGTCAGAGGTTTCCAAGTGATCCTTGCCAAATACTCCTTTCCTCCCCCGGCATTACAGGGAAGTGTCTTAGAAATAAACAGTTACAAGTTAGAACATTTTCCATAACATCCTGAAACTGGATTTTCAGTCTAATCAATTAGGGTTTAAATACTTGTAGCATCCAGGTAATCTGTGGGTATTAATGGAAAGAAAAATGATCTTCTTATCCTACCTGGATGACAAATAGGTTGTAGAGGGACACTTTTTTTTTTATACTTGAAATCTGCATTGGCCTTAAACTTTGCTGTATATTAATAAGTCTTGTTTAAATGCATGGTTCTTACTGGATGGGCTAGTCATGTCACAAGTGTCACCTGTTCTTTTTTTTATTTTAGGGGAATAGCACCAAAGAATATTTTCTTCAAAGGACTTTGCAGAGTCTTGAACGCTATTTCTACTTGATTGCCTTCAACTACTACCTTCATGAGCAGGTGAAAATCCTCCCCATCCCTCTCCGAAGCCTGTGTCTTACTCCTCCTCCCTTTATGGTTGGAGTTACAGGTCTAGTGAAATAGAGTAAAATCAAAGTAAAGTAGTAGTGGAGGCCCTTTCATTACAGCCACGTGCTGTATATATAGTGCAGGTGACTCAATGGATTACTGTATTAACCTTTCCCCTATGAAGTCTAAACTCAAACATTGGTTAATTGTTTTATGTAATTGCTTCAAAATTCTTTCATTTAAAAAATGTATTCTGTTTGTTCAAATTACAAAAACATCCTTCAGTTTAGCAGTGCTTAGTCTGAAGTCTTGGATGAAATAGGAACTAGTGTATCAGGTCAAGCTGTGTGTAGCTCTGTAATGGGAGCTCTAAATACTGATAAGTTTTTGGCAGGGAGCTTTCAGCCCTTTTATGAACTGCTTGTAAGAACTGCTCTTTGAGGTTGCTTTCTGTGTAAAATATACATGCCATACAGGATAATGCTCACCTGTTCCTGAATCCAGCATGTCTCTTTCTCTGTGAATGGCAGTACCCCATGGCTTTCGCCCTTGACTTCAGCAGATGGATGTGTAGACACCCAGAATTGTATAGGCTGCAGGTGAACATGAACCTGTCAGAGCTCACTGTGACAGGGGAGCTGATAACAAAGGGGATGCGAGTACTGGTGAGTGACTGCTTTAAATCTTCTTCCACATCCCACCTTGGCAGGTTAGAGGCAGCATATTAGACATGAGGTCTGCCTGTCATGTGCCAGGGCCACCTCAGCCAAATGCTGCTCAGAAACAAATGTGTACACTGTCTCGTATGCTAAAAATCCCCTTGGGTAGGGCCTCCTGAAAGCTGTCAGCCCAACAGCCCTCAGTTTTGGAGTGTTTGAAAGAGTCCAGTTCTGTGGCTTCAGTCTCATCCCTCTCTTTCTCAGACTTCTGTATGCTGCAGTGCCAGGGGCGACATTTCAAGGAGTGGAGGGAGTGTCTTATGATGGAGGCAGTTTTACCAGTGTGTGCTCCCTGCTTTGAGGGAGTGACCAGCTGGGAGAGATTCTCTGGGAAGCCCTGCAATGGCAAAGGTGCCAGCAGAAATGGGCAGGCAGGGATGTCACTGATTGCCTCCAGTTTACGGTGGTTTGTTCTGCTGCAGGTGGTAGATGAACGCTTTTCCCCAGATGTGCTCAGTACAGTGAAGGAGATGAACGTAGCCAACTTCCGGAGGGTTCCTAAAATGCCTGTGTATGGGACAGCACAGCCCAACTCCAAGGTAAGTAGAGCTCTTGGCAAATGGGAAGGTGACCAGGGAACAGGACTAAAACCTTCTAGTTTTTATACTCTTTGTAGTGCTGTTTGAATCATGAATGTGCCTTGCATTTCATTTAGTTCCCATTTCCCCTAGGCCATTGGGAAAGTCCTGAGCTACTTAACTGATGCAAAGAGGAAGTACTCCCACATCTTGTGGATAAACCTCCGTGAAGAAGTAGTGTTGGAAGGGAATGAACAAACCTATACCCTCAGGGAACCTGGGAATCTTGAACAACAGATTACAGTCCCTGTAAGAATGCCTGAACAACTAGAGGTGAGACCATAGCACCTTCTTATCCTCTCCTTTTTTTTGGCTGGTGGTTGAAGTGTGGGATACATCTTGGTGTTTTTCAAATGTATTGGTATTATTCAAATGTAGAAGACGGGACAAATAAGCAAACAAATGTCTGCTCCAGTGCGTGCTAATTAGTATGTATCAGAGCAGACTTGATTAATTGAGTCTGCTGGAGTGTGCTAATTAATGCATTCCAGAAGCTTCCGTGTTACATCTATTCAGGATACCCGTGCTTCAAAATAGTGGTGGGGGTGCTCTCCCAAGTGGTCACTCCTTCAAAATAGGCAGCACATGTTGGTAAAACTGCCTCCATCATGAGACACTCCCTCCACTCCTTGAAATGTCTCAGAGCTGCTCTAATTAAAGCATCCCCCCTCCAGTCTGGAGCATATGTATACATGCCTATAGCTCCTTAATCCTGTTACTGTTCAGTGCATTAAAATGATAATGTTAGATGGTATGGTTATTTTTCCTTTTCAAAGAATCTCTGTACCTTTGTGTGGGGGACCAACTTTTTCGTTGCTAATAAAAGAGAGAAGAAACATCAACACCAAATACTTGCCTTAACATATAAAAAGCAGACAATGAAAATCTATGCTCTTGGAGAGTCAATTAATTTTAGTTTATGCACCCACTTAAAAAATGTCCTATTCAGATGTCCCTCAGCACATTAACCTAACCAGCTGGCCACCTGCCTGGCTGTTTGATACCACCCAGCACAGAATGGTGCATGCTTGGTAGGAAGAGACTGGGTGCTGTCCAGTGATTATTTTACTTCTCACAGTTTTATAGCTTCTTTCATTTTGGCAAACAAGAGCAAGGAAAGAACATGATCTTGCAATGGGAACAGTTTTGTTTGGCACCCTGGTTCATGACAGCTGAAACCTTGGACTGAAGTGTTGATGTGGATGGAACCAACATCAACTCCCCCCCCCCCCCCCCACACAAAAAACCCCCAAAAAAAAAAAAAAACAACACCCCCAAACAAACAAAAAACAACCCACCCCCCATTATTATTATGCATTTATACAGCACTCTAAAATGTGTAATGTTCTGCAAAATGTAGAGCAAAACAGTTCCAGGAAGAAGAATGTGGCTTGAAAAGACTGGACAAGGTCTCATTAGGTGAGGGAGAACATATGTTCTTTTGAAAGCATGTAGTCAGGAAGACTGAGGAGAGAAGGCTTGTTACCAACAGTGGCAAGCTTGAGTGAAGAAAGTGCAAAGAGAGTAGATCATGTCAGATGCGTGGCAAGAAGCAGGCCAGGTCCATTGTGGTTAGTTTTTAATGGGATCTTGAAATGAATGGGGAGCCAACAGAGGCATCTTGAGTATGGTGCAAAACTAGCTGTGTTTATTTGTGTATAAGAGAAGGTGGCAGTAGTATTTCAGACATGCTGGACTCTGAAGAGTTGGGATTTTGGCTGGCTATAGAAGAGAGTTGTTTTGGGCTCTGATGCAGATGTGGGTCAGGATTTCGGCACAGGCTAAGCCAAGATATTGTCATGTACAGCCAATGGAAATGCAGGAGGAAAAGCACTGGCCCTAAGACTTTGGGCAGTGGAGGCAAATGGGAGATCAAAGTCAAAGTGGGTGAGAGAAACACGGAAGTTAGTTTCACGCATCACAAAATGTCACTGGTAGGCTCTGTTGAAGGGAAGTCTGGATGTGAAATATCAGCGATTGTTACAGATCAGGTGAATGGGGATTTGGGTAAACTATGTATGGAAAGCTTCTGAACTGAGGTCTTGCACTGTGCCAGACATTATCACATCTTTCTATGAGCATTACATTCACCTACACATTTATGGAGTGTAAGATGTCCTTAGAACGAGAAGGGAAAAAAAAACTTATAAAACATGTGCAGTGCTCAGGTAATGAGTAAGTTCTGATTTAGTGTCCATTTCTCTCTCTCTCTCATTCTCTCCTACAGAAACTAGAGTGCACCCTGAAGAATGACATGCTGAAGTCCCAGAAGTGGCTGGAGGTGTATCTGGAGCAGGAAAAACAGATGAAGACATTTAAGACTTGCCTGACCATACAGGAGATATTTAATCAACACAAAAGCACATGCCAGGGACTGATGTACAAACGGATCCCAATCCCAGACTTCTGTGCTCCCAAGGAGCAGGTAACGGAAGAACAGGAAACTACAGCCATTACCAGAATTTCAAAACTCTTTGAAGAAGGGCATGGTGAAAAACTCTCTAGGATGGGAACTTCGTGGAGCATCTTCCTGTTTTTCTCTAAAGAGTAGGGGATGGGACAGGTCAACCACTTGCTCCCTACAGCCCCTTGTATTCTGCCTCTTATTCCTTGTCCCCCTACTGATGCTTACCTCCTCTTCCAGTTTGATTTTCTTTTCTAGCTCTTCCCTTCAATTGATTCCCTCTCTTACTCTGTCTTCCATTTTCCTCAAATTTATCCCAACTCCCTCTTTCATTCCCTCCTCAGTTGCACTGCTGTCTTTTAGTTCCTCTGCTTTTTGGAAGGGATGGCACTCCTCCAATCTTTCCTTCACGTGAAGGCACAGTAGCTTCTGTATAGTGGAGCAGGAAGCTGCTATTACATTGGCTTGGAGGTGGCTGCTGCATTTGCTCCTTCTTCTCTTTTCTATCCAGACATCAGGAGTAAGAACATGGAGGAGGTGATGAAGCAAGTCGCCAGATGTCCTTCTACTGGCTTGTCACAGTGGTGGTCTTTAGTCCTCAGAAGAGGGAAAGGGCAGCTGCAGTTTTGGTTTCTAGACTGTGTAGGGGACTGGTAAACCTGGGAAGATTCTGGCCAGAGTGAGAGAGACTGCAGGTCTGGATTGTGTCCTGTACTCCTGTTTCTGCACAGGTTTATGAAGAGGAAGCTTGGTTTGTGTTCTTTCCCAGGATTTATGTACACTGAGTCCCTGGAGAAAAGGGAAAATGAGAGAGTTAACCCATAGATTGATAGTTACTTGTCCATCTTTGGCCCAGGCAGTGATCAGTGACACTTATCTGTGTAACTTGACTGCTGTAGCTTTCAGTTCTGGGTTTGTCACTATGAACAGTGGTGGGATCAGGGCTGCTTTTCAGTCATGCTGATTTGAAATGCGTTATTGCCATCTGCTGGCTCCACTCTGCAATGATAGATTGGTACATGTAGTGTGAGTCTCTGAGCATTTCTTCTTGAGTTCATAGAATCATTGAAAATGAGGGTTGGAAGGGACCTCAAGAGGTCATCTAGTCCAATCCCCTGCTCAAAGCAGGACCATCCCCAACTAGATCATCCCAGCCAAAGCTTTGTCTAGCCAGGGCTTGAAAACCTCCAAGGGTGGAGATTTTACCACCTTTCTAGGTAACCTGTTCCAGTATTTTACTACCCTTCCAGTGAGAAAATTCTTCCTAATATCTAACCTAAACTTCCCATGCTGCAACTTGAGACCATTGCTCCTTGTTCTGTCATCTGCCACCACTGAGAACAGTATAGCTCCATCCTCTTTTTGAATCCCCTTCAGGTAATTAAAAGCTGCTATCAAATCTCTTCTCAGTCTTCTCTTATCTAGACTAACTAAACCCAGTTCCCTCAGTGTGTTCTCCTAAGTCATGTCCCCCAGTCCCCTCACCATTTTCGTTGCCCTCCACTGGTCTCTCTCCAATTTGTTCACATCCTTTCTGTAGTGGGTCCCCAAAACTGAACACAGTACTCCAGATGTGGCCTCACCAGTGCAGAATAAAGGGAAAGAATCACTTCCCTTGACCTACTGGCAACACATATAACAGTGCAGCCCAGTATACTGTTAGCCTTCTTGGCAACAAGGGCACACCGCTGACTCATATTCAGCTAATTGTCTGCTGTAATCCCCAGGTCCTTTTCTGCAGAGCTGCTGCCCAGCTTGTCAGCCCCCAGTCTGTACTGGGTCACGGGATTGTTCCATTCTAAGTGCACTTTGCAGTTCTCCTTAAGAACCTCATGAGATTCCTTTTGGCCGAATCCTCCGATTTCTCTAGGTCACTCTGAATCTTACCCTCCAGCATATCCTCCTGCAGTTTAGTGTCATCTGCAAACTTGCTGAGGATGCACTCTATGCCATTTTCCAGGTCGTTGATGAAGACACTGAACAAAATTGGCCCCAGGATCAACCTCTGGGGCACTCCACTTGATACTGACTGCCAACTAGACATTGAGCCATTGCTCTCTGAGCCTGATACTCCAGCCAGTTCCACCTTACAGTCCATTCATCCAGTTCATACTTTCTTAGCTTGCCTGTGAGAATGTTGTGGGTGACCATATCAAAAACCATGCTAAAATCAAGGTACACCACATTCACCGGTCTCCCAGCATCCGCAGAGCCAGTCACCTCATCATAGAAGGCAATTAGGTTGGTCAGGCATGACTTGCCCCTGGTGAATCCATGCTGACTATTCCTAATTACTTTTTTCTGCTCCAAGTGGTTAAAAATGGATTCCTTGAGGATCTGCTGCTTGATTTTTCCAGGGACTGAGGTGAGGCTGACTAGTCCGTAGTTCTTTGGATCCTTCTTTTTCCTTTTCTTAAATGTGGGCACTGTGTGCCCTTTTCCAATTGTCTGGGACCTCTCCTGATCACCATGAGCTTTCAAAGATGATGGCCAGGTTCTGCAATTACATTAGCCAACTCCTTCAGCACCCTCATGGACTTGTACATGTCCAGCTTTTCTAAATAGTCCCTAACCTATTCTTTTGCCACTGTTGCCTGCTCACCTCCTCCCCAAACTGTGCTGCCCGGTGCAGTAGTCTGGGAGCTGACTTTGCCTGTGAAGACTGAGGCAAAAAAGGCATTGAGCACTTCAGTCTTTTCGTCATCCTCTGTCACTAGGCTGCCTCCCCCGTTCAGTAAGGGACCCACACTTTCCCTGATCCTCCTCTTGCTACTGACATACTTGTAGAAACCCTTGTTGTTACCCTTTGAATCCCTTGCTTAGCTGAAACTACAATTGCGCTTTGGCCTTCCTGGCTTCATCCTTGCATGCCTGAGCAATGCTCTTATATTCTTCCCTAGTTATTTACCCAAGTTTCCACTTCTTATAAGCTTCCTTTTTGTGACTTAGTTTACTGAAGAGTTCTCTGCTAAGCCAAGCTGGTCTTCTACTGTACTTGCTAATCTTCCTGTGCATTGGGATGATTTGTTCTTGCACTCTCAGTCAGGCTTCTTTAAAGTTCTGTGACTTCTATTAGAAACCTTATATTGATGCAAAAGAAATTAAGAGAACAGTAATTAAGAAACTTTTCTAGGATAATTCTTTAGCATTTCCATTAAAGTGAAAATGTTAATGCTGCTGTAGTTATAGTTATGTATTAACTTTTTTCAGAGTTGCAGAAACCACTTGGTCTGGGCTTGGTATAGTGGCACCCAGAATTCTGTCTGAAGGAGCAAGGCTCTGAGATCCATGCAGTAACAGTGTAACATAATCTACATGCTATGTTGTTAATCCCATTTTAAATATATTTAGGAAAGGAAGGACAGCTGTTTTCAACACATATGGTGGGGGGAAAGTTAGCCAGCCAGATTAAAATGATCACAGTTGTACAAGTTAATGCAGATGGTTTACAATATATCACAATATTAGATTAAATGGCCGATCTTGTAGGGAGAAATGTTGAGTCTTCCCAGTTCAGGGAGTTTGTATATATGAATTGAATGTTAAAGGGCATAATTGTCATGTAAGTTTTTTTCCTGTAAGTCTCAGGAAGAATAGGTCATCATACACTTGGTAGTAACACAGTGGCATTCTTGCTGGCCTAAAGGGTTCATATTCTACATGGCTGGCTAGGGTCTTACCTCACAGCTGACCCTGTAATGCAGTCTGGGCGTATATGCTGCCGCTCTGATAGAAGTTAGAGATTTTTTGGCATTTTCTGTAAGGAATAGGCATTGACATGTTGCACTAGTCACATTCTCTCCCCAGTACCTAAAGCAGATTATGAACTACTGTTGAGTGCCTCAGAGGGTGTTGTAGATGTATTTTCTTGTTTTATATTATACTTTGTGCAGAAACTGCTCTTAATTACAACAGAATCTGTGGTTATATCCGGTGGGAAAAGTTCATATTTAACCTTTTATGTTTTCCTTCTGCAGGATTTTGATCAGCTGCTGGATGCAATGAAGAGTGCATTGGCTGAAGATTCCCACACGGCCTTTGTGTTCAACTGCCACAGTGGCAGAGGGAGAACCACCACAGCCATGGTTATTGCTGTCCTCACACTTTGGCACTTCAATGTAGGTACTTGCTCAGGGATGGGCCTTTCAGTGGATGGAAGGCTGGAAACAGAGGAGTGATTCTTTAATTTTTAACTCTAAATACCAGAGCCAAGCCCTTACTCTGAGCAGTGGAAGTGGGCTGTGCTGGAGCATTCACAGCAACGTTGGAGTAGAGCGAGGTGTCTTAATAAGGCTCTATTACACTGCTTCTGAGCTGGCCAGAGGTGTGTCTGCTTCTCTGAGCAGGACCATGCAGAAGAAGAAAGCAGTGATCGAGCGTTTCCTACCTCATTACAACCAGATATGACCCTAGCAGGGTGCGGGGTACAGGGCAAATCAGCCTGTGTGGGGCCCAAATGCGAAGAAGCTGGCGGCAGCAGCGGTGGGGTGGTGGTGAGTGGCTCGATGTGAAGCCTCTGGCGGCAGTGTGGAGTCACCGGCATTAGGCGGGCCCTGCAAGAAAGACCGCGGCCGCTCGGCTCAGCCTGTGGTGCCTCCCAAAGTGCAGGGCCCGGGGCAGTTGCCCTGAAATGCACTCAGGGCATTTCAGGGCAACTGAACTGATCGATCCAGTCTGTTTCTCTGAGCTCTGCTGTACAAAGCCAGGTGTGGAGCATTGTCTAGTCACAAAGATGATGAGACTGCTGAGTAGCATTGTTGAAAAGCATCACAAAGCTCACAGTGGCAAGAGGGATTTTTCAATGAGCTGTGTGGATTGATGCTTTCAGACTTTAGGGAATGGCTTTGGATGCTGGAGACAAAGGGACCTCCTTGTCCTTAACCCTTTAGTAGGGTTAGCCAGTAAATTAGCTGAAGAACATGAGTTAGTGTGACAAGATTACTTTTTTTCAGTTTCTTACCACCTTCTATGCAAGGAATTGCAATTCTTGTACACTGGTGAAGGAGTCTCTTTTAACAGAACAGAAAACTAAGACGCAAAAGCCCAGTAACTTGTTTGACATGGCTCACCAAATCCAAGCCAAACCTGGGACAGACCAGGTTTGGAAGTCTGGACAGCTTGTTGCCTATTCCTGTTTTTCCCCACTGACTGCTTGGGCAAGTCATTTAAGTACAGTACCATGCTTTGCTGGTTGTTGGTGGAGGAGGGGGTGGAGGGGGAACATCAATGTAAGTGCTTTGGGAGCTATTGATTGTGGGGGAACGCGGGGGGGAGGGCGTGAAGGTATATAGTATAAACTATTATTTGAAAAGCCATTTCTTCTGACACAGTTCAGAGCTTAGACCTCTGTCTCAGCATTATTAACTGTTACATTGTAGGTGAGAAGAGGTTCTGGTTTAGTGTTTTAACAGCCCCAATCTCGTTTGGCTTCTTTTTGCTGTAGGGTATTCCTGAGGTGAGCGAGGACGAAATTGTTAGTGTGCCTGATGCAAAGTATACCAAAGGGGAATTTGAGGTGAGTCCTTCTGCTGTTATTATTACTGCCATTATTTTGAGGTGCTTTGCTCAAATCTCCAAGGGCTATTTGCATCCCATTCCTTAGGCACAGCCTCATTTTTTCAGCTGGTTTGTTCAGGGACTGAATCTGCCAGTAAGTGACAGGATCTGTGTTTAAGGCCATCAGAAACCAGCATCCTGAGACCTTTATAGCTAGTAATGACCATGTTAAAGTGTGGATTCTGGGATCTGGCTATTTAGGACTCGGACATTAAGATTTGATACATTTTGTGTTTGGAAATTAGCATGATTTTTAAAGTAGCATAAAATGCCCAAGGAGAACCAGGATAGAAAGAAATAACCTGTTAGTCTTAGCACTTGCTGTTAAGGTGATCTGTGGAGGTGGCAAATGTTTGCTTCATTTGAAGACCAAGAATTAGCTCTCAGATGTGCAGCCTGGAGGAGACCAGTCATAAGAACACTCCCCTGTCCAAGAACTGCAGACAGCATGCGGGCATCAAAGATGGCAGCAAGCTTACACACACACCCCACAGCCCACATCCCAACAACGTGCAGGAATTAACTGGCTGTGCATTCAAGCTTTCTAGACTTTCCTCCATCCGCCAGTGACAGTATCTGATTATGCCCTGTTTTATTAACCCCTGCCTCCACTTTGTCACTATTCAGCATTGGACTGTTTTGACCAGTTTTGTTTTATGAAAGTCACAAGTATTATTCACTTAAAATACCTGTGCCATTTTTATTTCCGAAGGAGGTTTCTGAACACTGAACAACACAGTGTTGTGGTGGTTGTATTCGTGCATAATGCTGGCAGGTCCACGTCCTACCTGGAGACCTGCAGGAGTCTGGTATGCCTAAGGGCTAGTCTATACTGCCTCTGTGACATGCCTGGGAATCCTACCATGAATGCTTCACCCACTTATTCCCATTCTGCTTGTGCCAGATCCAGAAATGAGACAATGAAGTTGCATTTGAGCTTCCATGAGCACATGTCAGTGAACATACATGGGACAGAGAGCTTGAAAGCAGCCCTGGACACATGCTCAGAGATACTCTAAGGCAGGGGCGGGCAATTATTTCAGGTGGAGGGCCGCCTACTGAGTTTTGGCAAGCCATCGAGGACCATATGACAGGCAGCCAGGGGCAAATAAATATTAATTTTCTAAATTTTTTAGGGGCCCTGTAGGACGGATAGAATAGCCTGGCGAGCTGCTTGTGGCCTGTGGGCCACATTTTGCCCACCCCTGCTCTAAAGTCATTTGCTTCATTTTTGGCAGTGGGGGCATATACTGTAGTGGTGAGTATGCAAGGTGTGTGCTTCATGGTGGTGCTTCTTAGTGTTGGATACAGACATGCAGACATGCCCTTAAGTACTATGAACACAGCAAGTTCTGGTAAAACGAAGCTCTCTTGATAGTGAAGTAAAACAGAAATCTCTGAGGGTTTGAGAGTGATTAACAATCCTGACTATCATGACATCTTCCTAAGGGAAGCTATTTCTTGTAATCTACTGTGTATAGTAAGAGAGCTCCACTGTCATTCTGCATCCTGGGCTAAAAAGACTTCAAAGTAATACTGCATTTCTGTTAAGACTGGTGAGCTGCTCCTCCTGTCTTACCAACATATTAAGATAGCTGGTTTTGAGATGCAATTGGATAACAGACATTTGAGATTTTTAACTAAAAAAGAAACTCAAGCAGTTTGTCTTTAACTGCCTGATTGAGCCAAGAAGCCTGAGGTAACCAAATGGATTAAAGCAGCAGGATGGTTTGGTGGCTAGTTTAATCATCTGAGTCTAAAATACATGGGTTCTAGTCCCTACTCTGCCACAGAAAGTCTCAGTGCTCTTAGGCGTCTCAGGATTAGAGACACTGTGGGTCAGAGGTATTGAGCACTTGCATTTCCACTCATTTCAGCAGTGGCTTGTGTGGGGTGAGTGTCCTCCATTTTTTCTGGGCATTGTCTTTAGTAGAATGAGGTAAAATATTCTTCAGGAATCTTTCTCTTAAGAATAAGTATTTTAGAATATAGCATGGCTGGGATTTTGTTGTAGCTGAGATGGTCCAGGAAATAAGTGAGAAGTAAGTTTTTTGTTTTAAATAGTGATATCTTTTCTTGGACCAGCAATGTATTTAGGAAGGATGCTAAACGAGTCTTCAGGCATAAAGTGCTCTTTTCAAGGTCTGAGGAGGAAGCAAGTGCACTTAAAACAATGGTGTGTGTTAACTCCATATGTAAAAAAGCAGGCACTTAAGGCACAGTAAATTAGGAGTAGAAGAGAAAACTGTCAGAAGTAGCTTCAAAGCAAAAAAAAGTTTAATCAAATAGATAACCTAATTATGTAAAAGAACAAGACCAGAATGGAAAAAAATACCTGTGGTATACTGAGAAGTTAGAAGAGGCACCAGCTAGATTATAATGAATCACAAAACCATTGTCTATGTTTAGTCCACTGCTTCACATCCAGTAGTCATCTTATTTCCTGTCATCTCCTGCCACCCCAAAGCTATTGCCAGCTGACCAGTAAGCAACCCTTTTCTGCTGCCTGCAGAGGAGGCTGACTGTAGATGATCTGACTTTATGGTCTTTGCGTATGGTGACTGTCCTTTTGTATTACTGTTGTGCCCAGGGGCCTTTGCCATAGATAAAGACCTCACTTTTACTGAGGTTTGAGCAAACACAGGACAAAAAGACACCTGCTCACAGAGCTAATGGTACCAATATACAACAGAAGACAGTTCATGGATTTAAGTATACAGATGGGAACAAGGGTTAAATCTGAACTAATTTCTTCTTCAGAGGGCTTTTCAAAATATGTAGATTTTTGGAATAAAGTGCCTTGCTGCTTCTGTCCCCCAGGTAGTGATGAAGGTGGTCCAGCTTTTGCCAGAGGGTCACAGAATAAAGAAGGAGGTAGATATGGCACTGGATACTGTGAGTGAGACCATGACACCTATGCATTATCACCTGAGAGAAATCATCGTGTGCACATACAGGCAGGTGAGTGTGGCTAGTGACTGCTTTTCCCAGATTAACTTTCTGTGTTCCTGACTCTCCCAGAAATAAACCATGCCAACTCTTTAATGACCTGGATGTCTTTCTTGTTTGACTTGTTAGATATTCATGTTTTGATAGAACCCTGAAGCCATCAGCAGCAGTTGAGTACTACTGTGCTGGTGCTATAGGAACATACATGAAGGCATGGTTCCTTTGTACTCTAAAGCTCTGTTTCTTTTGCTTGTGTTGCTTCTCTTGCTGTTCTGTAATTTCTTGCAGCAAAATCTTCTTCCTGTCTCCTCCAGCAATAGCACATGAGCATTCCAACTGTTGGTTATCTGATGGGTCATAGCAGACACCAGAGTGGGTCACAGTGTTTTTATCATTTTCATTTTTGCTGTGGCTGCGAGTCTCCAAACAGGCTAAGATGATGCTGTCATTTGAGGCCAAAACCTAGATCTAGCATCATTTTTCAAGGCTCAGTGTTCAGGAAGATGGTTTGGCCCTTATTCTTTAGCTAGTTTATTATTCACTTCAGTCACTTCCAGAAGTATAATGCCATAAGCTCATGCTAGGTATGACATTTCTATTACATGCTTAAGTCATATGCCCTGAGGCTGATAACTTTTGTTATAGCTCATCTTGCACAATGTGGATGATTGGCAGGTATTTGGTCATGGAGGGGAGGTTGTGAGTGAAAGAAGTTTGAACTAAAACCCTAAAAAAAAAAAAAGCAAGTGGATGACTTTCGGAGGTAGTTGTCAAATGAGATGAACTGACTAATGTGCAAGTAGCTCAATGCATAATGGGACAACTGGCTTATTTTTTGGATGGGGGGAGGGGAGGGGCTTTACATCTGTTTTAACTGGGTATTCCTTGCTTTTAAGACACAAAATATTCCATTTGCTACTTTCAGCCAGCAGGGGGCAAGGGTGCTCTGTTTGGCCTGTGCTTCATCCACATGGTTATGGTTACTTACCCATTTTCTTGTATTTGTACAGCTTTTTCTGTTAATTGAGGGTTTGGGGATGTGGAAAAGAAGAGGGCATGTGTTTGTGGGAAGGCACCCTGGAGCCCAACAGTCCCTTTTGGAGACCCTGGATCATCTTTCTCTGCTTTTATATCTCCCTTACTCTTATGCAGCAATAGTATCTGGAGAGCTTCTCCAGACTCCCATTGGAGCCTATTCAGTGTTCTGTAGTTGTCCTATTTCTGCCAGTGTGTTTGCATGAATAGCACTGAATGCTAACCTTGCTTATTCCTTGCCACCAGCTGTAGATGTGTGTATGCACATGGGATTGTTGATGTAAGGAGCTGAAGGCTGCTTAAGGAACCTAGTCATAGTACACTGCATATGGAGTATTACTTGTGCAATCTCTGGAAAAAGCATAACAATGGAGTCATAAATTTGTGGACAAGTTTAGAAACAAGTGCAGCAAATAGAAGTTTCTTGTGCACAGATGGGGAAGCTTTTGTCAATCTTTAAGAAATGTTGTCTGGACAGATGGGCCCAAATTTAGCCAATTGATAAAAACTTTGCATTTTTCCTTTATAACCCTGTCTAAGGAAAAATGAACTCTTTCTCCCACCACCTACCAAAACTCTTTCATGATGAAAATTCAAATTACTTCATTACCAGGTAACTGAGTTACAAAAGCCCCTGAGTCTTCTTCCTACTTCCTGGCTTGTTTGACTATTACATCAGCGTCTCCACCCATGTTCTACCCTCCTGCGCACGAATGAGATGGGTGAATTCCAGTGCATCTTAGAAAATAACTTCTCCAACAGAACTTTAGTGCCACCGAACTTGTGCTCTTTTTTTAGTCAGTAGAACAGAACCTTTTCTGCCAGCTGGGTGTTGCTGTTATCCAGCTGGTCAGGTGCATTTGGAGGGGAGGGGATGCTAGTTGCTGCCATATCCCTGGTTCCAGGTTAATGGAAGGTTTTGTGATGGAATAATGATGGATAGTAGAACTGTAATAAAATAACTTTTTCATTAGATATTATTACAAGCTCTGGGGGTATTTTTTTGCGCTGGAAAATATAAGCCAAAATTTGACAGGGCTTTTGCCAAGCTGGCTATGCCCCAAATTGGACTTATGTTAAAATATGAACTTCTAAATATAATTTAAAAAATGAATTACTTATTTTGAAGCTATTTTTAATATGCTGTCTGTGCATAACAAGGCAAAAGCCATGTGTTTTACTCCTCCTGAATTTGATACTACAGTAGCAATTAACTATGTTCTCAGAAGTGTGCTGATGTAATCCATGAGGTGAGCACACAAGCAAGAAAGTAGACATGAAAAGCACAGGAGATCTAAGCCCACTAAGGAACATGTTGGTGGGGAGGAGCAGGTCCAAAACAGGAGGGCCAATTCTTGCCCTATGGGGTAGGGACAGAAATTACACACAAGCTGGTATAAGCGATTGGAAACCAGTTCAAATCTGTGACACAACAGAAGTTCAGTGCACATGAACTGCTTTCAAAATGACTGAAACTGGTTTAAGATAAACCTGGATGGATGCAGTATCACTTCTCTGACTTCGATTAAATAGGTTTATTGAACTTCTGTCCCAGATCCCATCCAGATTCAAGCTGTCTGTTCTAGCAGAGCAGGGAGGCATGCTCTAGTGCTCCCTGGCTTCTGGCCTGGGACACCGCAGGCATGTGGATGCATTTCTGGAATCAAAAGTGACTGTCTGTTCACTTACTTGTTGGTTCAATCTATGCAGTTTAGACTAACCTGTGAAGATTGAACTGATTCAGTCTCAGGCTTTTTGACTGTTTGTATTTAGCCATGGAGACACAAAGCTGACAGTGCACGCATATGAGCAGGTTTTACAAATCAAGCTGAAAACGTTTTTTTTTTAATGTTTACTAGTAGCTCTGCTTTTCAGACTTGTGCCAGCTAGATAAGTTCCTTCCCTCACTGCAGTTTGGGTGCTCAGGGCTTTGGCTTTTGAGTCTTGCAGCTTTTTCATATTAACATGAAATGTAAATACAGGAAAGGGGACATAAGCTCTGTGTTCTTGCAGGTAGTTTTGTCCCCAGCCTAGTGAAAGAGTCCTTTCCAGTGACCTCAAATTAACCCTGTTCCATGTGGTATTTTTGAAAAGGGAAAGCAGAAACCTTCCCAAATAACAAGTGTGCCTCCAGGCATTAAAGGAAAACAGCCAGGTAGGTTAGGCTCTGAGTAGGTTCAGAGTATTACATACTCTTTGAGTTACAATTTAATATTGATTTAGAAATAGTCTCATGATTCAATGAAAAATGAAAATTAAAGAGAGGCTTTGAAAAGTGAGTTTGGGATGTCAGTGGTCCCCTGCAGCATCTGCTGTTCACACACTGCTGCAGAGCTTTTCTGCATGAAAATTGGAAACTGAAAATCCGTGGAAACAAAAATGAATTTGCTCATTTATGTTCCTTTATCTAGATGATTGAAATACTAAAAAGCAAAGAAACAGCCAAGTGGCAGAAGTAAATTTATACAAATTATTCTCCCCCCTTTTCTTTTTAATTTATCAAAAATACTCTTAGAAATGCAAATAAAGACATTTAATAAATTAGCCAGCTAGTTTCTCTTCCACAGACTTACCAGCTGTCCATAAATGTATGGACAGTCTGTAAATAACGAGGCTAAACATGCTTGTCCATAAAGTCTGTTTAAAAAAAAAAGGAGCCATCTGTAAAGACACTAAACAATGGGAGCTGATTAAAGTTCCCTGTCAGAAATGAAGCTGGAGCTAAGTGTTGAAAGATAAAGAGAACAGAGGAGTGCCACTTGGTATCTGAGTAGGAACACAGCACCCTGCAGTAAGCTCTTTCAAGGCCTTGTAGCTCATGAGAGTTTACAGAGCCTCCTGGCCTAGTCTATGTGCTGCTGCTCCTGCTGCTGGGTCCTGTCATTTGCCTGTAACAATGTTGGGTTGCAGGTAGGCAGGCGATCCTTCTTTAGGGGGTCCATGCCAGAACAGGGGTGGGGACAGGGCTGGCAGAGGTAAGGCTGGAGGAGCATCCAGCTGTGGGGATAAGTAGGGGACACAGGGCAGGGCAAGGCAGGACAGTGTGAAACAGGGATGGGCAAAATATGACCTGCAGTAGGTTCCTTAGTCCCCCTGGGCAGAGCACCCTTGTTCCATGCCAGTCTGCAGCTTGTTCTGGGATGCCTGCATGGTGGCAGCAGCCCCCAGCCTTGCTGGCTCAGCAGGAGGCAGATCAGTGTGGGGCCAGCAGCAGGAGCCTCAGTGAGGGTGCTGCATCTGGGACTGGGGGCAGGACCAGGGGTGGGCCTCCATAGAGACTGTGCACAGCTGGACAGCGAGCTGCATTTGGGGCTGAGGGCTGGTCTTCATGGGAGTTTTGGTGATTGTGTGTGTGGGTGGAGAGGAAAGTACTGACCTGACCTGTGTCAGTTTGCCAAAACAGCCTCTGTGGTTCTCAGGCCCAAATAATTGCCCACCCTGGTGTAAAACCATTGCTGTAGTTAAGCAGGGCTGCCAACCCAGAAATTCTTCTTCCCGTCCCCCCCCAGTAACCTGTAAACTTTTTACTGACAGCCAAACTCTTTTTACTATGGTTGGTGTTAACCCCTAAATTTGAACATGGCCCTTGTTCAGGGTCTGGCAGAAGGATTACATTTTCATTATGTAAAACATATATCAGTAAAAAAAACTTTGGCCATCAGTCAAAAGCTTTTTGGATTGTCAGTAAAAACAAAACAAAACAAAGTCTTGTTTTGGCAACTCTGTTCTTCCAACTCCTTCTCTTTTTGCCCAGTTCTATTACTGCCTAGGCTCCTGTATCAGGCACTGAAGTGTGTTGCATAATGATGTATATGGACTTTTGAACTGCAGTTGTCTCACACAAGGACCAGGGAGATTTGGGCTGAGGCTGGAAGGCAGTTTTCAGCAGAGCAGTATGTTTTATTCACTGAAGTAAATGGGTTCCAGGCTGTGGAGGAAAAGCCCTGCCCTTGCCTAATATAAAAATGTTGTAGATG